CAGCTCAGCCATGTGGCTCCTACCTTCTGCTCCTGGGCCAGCCTTGGCCAGGGGAGAGCCCACCTGCAGCGGGGCGGCCGCCGACAGCTCGGGGTAGTCTTGCGGTGGTCAAAGGGGAAAGCTGTGTTACTGGGAGTGCTGGGGAAGCTGGTACCCCATAAGGAGCCCTGTAGCACTCCTGTGGAGGGCCACAGCCCCAAACCACACCCCCAACCCAGTGCCATGCAGGTCCTCACTCCTGCTCGATGCCAACGCTGCTGCTGCTGGCACTGGGCAGCCAGTGTGTCCTCGGGCACTGGAGTGGCCAAGCAGCCCTTGGATTGTCAGGGTGGGATGCAGCAGAGTGCTGAGCTGCCTCTTCTCAGCCCAGCTGAGTGCACAGGGCTTGGAGCATGTGTTTGCATCAGGACCTCAGCGACTGCTGTGCACCTCTCTGCTTTGGAATAACAGGGCTGAGAAACAGCACACGTGTCTAGGGATGGAGGCATGAAGTCCTGTTTTCTGATCCAAACTTCCAGGCCCTCCTTCAGGCTCTGCTCTTCCCTCAGAAATGCCAATTAAAGAATTTGCAAGCCACCGTAGGGGAATTGAACCAGCAAGAAATTTATAGCTCACTTGTTTGATTTCCCTGCAAACCTTCACCCCCACTGGCTCCATCCCCCTCCATGGCTCCTCAATATTGGTAACAATCTTTAGGTTTGCTAGAAAACAAACCAAGGACTAAAAATTTTAAAAGCCATATTATTAATTTCAAGCTCCAGTTGGGTAACATAAGGAGGAGGAGGGAAAAAAAAATCAGAAAATCTCTTGATCCTTGCCAAGTTTCAAAGGACAAACCCGAGTAGGAGAGAAATGTGATTTTCCAGCCTCATCAAGGGGATGATAAACAATGCAGAATAAAAAAAGAAAAAAAAAAGATTATTTTTTAAATGACAAGCTCTAAGAGAAGGTGATAGACATTGTCCTTTTCAGCTGGAAAGTGGAAACCAATTGATATTAATATGGTGTTAAAGAGAATATGAAAAAAGCCCTGTGCAAATTGGCAAGGGTTTAATTAGAGTCACAATAAAAAACAGCCCTGGAGGCATTTTGCTTTTTAGTCATTCACATACACCTCCACTCGATTGCATTTACAGAGCCAGGAAAATTATTAATGCTCATTATCCAGAGAACCTTTCCCTCGTAGCTCTGGGCCATAATGGACAGTTCTACATTTTGGAAGGGGAAGAGACACATTTTACCCCCCAAACCCAGTTCATACAAATGGGAAACGATGGGCAGCTCTGGTGGAAACTGCTGTTCTTGCTGGGTTTCTGGGGAAGTAGAATCAATTGAACCAAGTCACACTTCATAGCAAAAACCAGTGGGGGAAACAGTGCTGGAGTAGTGGGGGGAGGACCCTGAAAAAGTCCTTCTTGAAACATAAACACAGATCCCAGTTCTGCAGGACCTCCAGGCTGTCTGTGCTGGCTTTCTGCTGGAGCTCGTAACCACCAAGCAGGGCACAGGGTGGTTCTGTTTTGCCCAGAGGTGAACTGGCACTGCAGAAACTGCCATGAACCACAGGGAGGAAAATGGAAGCAGGAAAAAGAAAAATAACTTTTTTTTCCGTGCTTATTTGGAACGTGGGAAAGATTTAACAAATGGCAAGGAAGAATCTGACAGGCTTCAAGGAAGGCTTGGAAATACCAGAACTGCAGAAGGCAAATGAGAAGAGCACTTAATTAATCCTCTTTAGGATAACTCTGTGATTTCCCTTTCTCCTACCCATTTTGGCAGCCCAACTGCCTTCAGACCACAGACTTTGCCCAAGAACTCATTCTCTCTCCCCTCTCACCACACAACAAATGCCGAGCACACAAAAGCATCCTATGGACGTGACCACAGCTCCACCTTGACCACGGAAAACACCACGAGCAGCCAAAAGAAGCAGATGTCTAGCAGATCCATGCAACCCAGAGACAACCCAAATCTAATCTACTCCTCTAGCCTACGTGCTTTCTGCCTTGCTGCTACCCACTAGTGTGCGGAGGCACGAAGGAGAAGGGAAAAACACATCGGTCTGGCTTTAAATACCTGTTTTTTTCTCTGTTTCTGTCACAGGCACAGAGGCAGCAAACTCAGAGGCTGGTCTGATGGTGCTTGCTTGGGTGGGAAGCAGAAATTCAGAGGGCAGAAGACAGTGTGTCAATTAGAGGGTGAAACAGTGCAGGGATGGGGCAGGGACTTTTAAAGCAGGAGTTTAAAAAATGTCTTTAATGGCTTTAAAGCAAGGAGGGATTTTTAATGCTTCTAAAATTCAGCAGGGAGGTAATAACAGAATATCTCACTTTGGGACTCTGACCCAGCTTGGGATTATTGTGTTTCCTGCAAAGGTGTGTCCTGCCAGGAGCTCGAGGGGTCACCTCTTTAACAAGGTGTTTCCCTTGAGGTCCAGGTGAGTTAGATCCACAGCCCCTCGGGGATGTCATGGTATGAAGTACTTTATGTTTTGTAGGATGGGAGGAGGAGGAATGTCTCTGGCCAAAAGCAGCTCAGAATTAAACTGTGCCTTGATTCCCTGTTGCTGGGCAAAGGCACACAGAGGACCTTTGGCAGCAAACCCACTTGCTGCCCAGGTAAGGGCAGGTCCCTGAGCTCCTGGGTGGCCCTGGCTACCTTCTTATGTGGAGCAGCATCTCCAGGGAGTGTCAGCACTCCCAGGCAGACCACTCTGGGGTGGGATCTGGCTCTGCAGAAACATGGATGGGGATCTGGATGGGAGCAAGATGCTCAGGCCTCACTGTATCAAGCCAGGGATCTGGCAGCTGGGCTGCAATTCATTAAGTTTGTCCCTTGCCACCAGTTAATGAAAGCATTCTGAAAACATTTTCTCTGCCTAGGAAGCAGGTTTTGGAGAAGAAATAAATCCCAAGGTGCATGGTGTCTCTCAGGTCCCTCAGAGCAGTTTGGCAGGAGAGAATACCCCTCAGCAATGCCCTCCTGCACACCCCAGATGTATGACACAAGGCAGAGCACTGCAAATCACACACAGGAGAGATACTAAGCACACTACCCACATGTACACAGCAAAAATATAGACCTATAATGTTGCTACAGGCGAGCATGGATAAAAATCAAATGACCCTAAGTGTGTGATACAGACAGAGATGTGATCCCCTGGGGCTGTGGTGATGGTGTGGGTTCCAGGCAGGGTGGATGAACCTCCTCCTGCACAGGTACAGCATGGACTTGGGTGAGGAACACTTCTTAACAGAGCTGAGACTTGCACTCTTTTTCCCAGGGTCACTCCAACTCTATAGAAGTTGGACCTAAACCCTCAGCTTCCTGATTAACTCCTCAAGCAGGTTACTTCCATGACTATATCTATATTTGCATAAACATGCAATCAAGTTTCCTCATCCCTTTGACTGGCTTCTGGCAGCTCCCCCAGACAGACTGTTACTAACATACTGTGGGTGTAAAACGTCCTCCTGGGAAATATCAGGCCCTGAAAGCATGGTAAGGGGAGGAATGCGTGTCTAATTCTCCCATGAGAAGCTTAAAAAAAAAAGTCCTGCTGTTAAGTTTTATCTGCTCATTTCCAAAAGACAAGCAAAAACACTATCTCCTTGTTCACAGTGGGAGGGAAGGAGGAACCCCTAGAAAAAGGACAAAAGTTTTCCTCCACGGGTGATGTTGGGAATTAGGGAAGGATGTTTGTGGCACGTGCCTGAGCTCCAGCTCTGCGCATTTCCTGGATGCTTGGCCAGTGGTTGCCTGGGGAATGCTGGAGTGTTGCTCTGCCCTAGGGAAACTGCCCTTGCAGCTGGAGCCAGCTGCATTACATCCATGAGTCCAGCCACAGGGATTTGGTGCAGGATTTGGAGAGCCAGCAGGGACAGAGCCTGGACCCAACAGCCCATCCTTGGGCTGCTCTGAGTCTGGTGGGAAGTGGCAGGAGGTCAGGGATAGAGCAGGATGGGGTGCAGCTCCCCCTCTCCTTCCAGAGAGATACATGGTTTGATTTGGACAGTAAAGTCTTCATTGCTTTCCTGCCCTGCCTTGTGATGGAGCTGTAAGAGCATCTCTTGTAGCCATGCAACATTGCCAAGTGGCTCTAGGAGGGATGGATTTGGAAAACCTTTTAAAAAACAACAAAACTGAGAGAAAACAGAGAAAGGCAATGGTTCCTCTGCATCCAGTTCTGGGTTTTACTTCTTGTATCCCTGATGGTGACAGAGTGACAGCTGGCGAGGGGGGAAGGCAACCCATGGGGTGGTTGTCTCTTGGCTTTGAGGTGGTCCCACTGTGGCTAAGTCCCTGCTTACAGCAACCAGAACACTTGTTCCTGGCTTGTGTTAGACATGTCACAGTGCCCCTGGGCTGAATAGAGACAACAGCAAACCAGGGCTGCCTGGAGGCTGGGGGATATGAACCGAGTCGGGGTGATTTTTATCCATGTTCCTTTATCATCCTACAGAGCACAGATCCACGGCCACCGACACAGCAGCCCCGTGGGAAGCAGCTGAAAAGAAGAACCTGGAAGTGGAGACCTGGCCTCCAAGCAAGGCAGGGAGCATGGCACCCACCTGGCTGGGTGGTGGTGGCTGGTAGGGGGGTGGTGGTGGTGGTGGTTGTAGTTGTGGTGGTGGTTTTTGCAGTGGTGGTTTTTGCGGTGGTGGTTTTTGCAGTGGTGGTTTTGGCTGTGTTTCCCCGCTGCGGTCGCTCATATGCTGACAAGCAAAGAGAAGAGGTTGGAGGGGGAATGGAGGGGTTTCTTGCCAGCTCACACACTCATGAGGCTGCTGCTGCTGGGTTGAACTGGTGACTGATTTCTCAGCGTGGTTACAACTGGGGCACGGAGAGGATTAAGGCGCCGGCGACTCAGTGACGCTGGACACAGTGACTGTGTGCAGGGGCTGGAGGCTGTGCCTGTATCAGCTTACTCTGTTGGTGCAGATATTGGCTTAAATACTTAGAGCTCTATCATAAACTAATTGCCAATTATGTTGAAAAGGAGAAATGAAGGCAGGAGGTGCCAAGGGCCCAAGTTGTCTCACTGCCCAACCTCTACATGCCCAGCTTGCCCCAGCTCCATATACAGCACCATTCCCTTCTGCCACCCCACAGGCACCAACCTACCTGGCACCATCAGAACCAACTGGGACTTTTGGCACGTGTTCATTTCCACTGGCACCCTGCTAATTAATGGCTTAGGGTCAGCAAGTCCCCACGGAGCCAGGTGGGAGCAGACCCAGGTGCAGTGCCAAACCCACCGCACTCGCTGCAACAGCCTGAACTAAAATAGCACTGGAACACAAATTCCTACTTAACTTACACCTGCTGCCCTCCTGTCCTTGTTTGTCCCACTGCTTCATGCAGATTATCATGCTTAATTTCATAATAGCCCTGAGCTAGTTTAAATACTTAATTTAGGTCACTTCTAGTCTCCTATGTGGGCTAAATAATCTCTCCTTAACTGGCCTTGGACACAAATCCCTCCTGTCCACCTCCTGCACATCTCTCCCAGCACTCCCCTAGTAGAAAATTTTGATGGGAAACATTTTCCAGTGAAATAAAGTTAGTGCTGAGGATGCCAAGCTCTGTTAAGCAAGGAAAAAAAGTTACCAAAATGGTTTTGACCAGAAAGGTGAAGAATATTTTGGACTGTTAAAACATTTAATTTTTTTAATCCTAAATTACTTAAGGCAGACTTTTAATTTTTCCTTGAAAATTGTATGCATTTAACAACTTAAAACCTAAATATGGTTCATTTAGCCACAAAACCTGTCCTTCACTTTCCAATTAGGTGCATTTCTCTTAATTGCATTTGCATTTCCCTGAAACTGTTTTCTCCACCAATTCTCTTCCACTTGCCTGCAAACCAAAGAATTCATTATTCATTCAGCTCTCTGATTTGATTCTTCTGGAGGGTAATTCTGAGCCACAAAATTCCAACCCAGGCTTCTGCTTACCCAAAACTCCAGGCTCTTTGATATCCAACTACCTCCAGCTTTGTTAAATAAGGAGTCCTCTCATACCATCAATCTTGCAGCAGCAATCCCTGCTGAGCTCTGCTGCCTTTGCTGCAGACACTTCACAGACATATGTTCCTACACATACACGTGTACATACAGATGTACACACGCTCTATATGTTTTTTTTTAATTGATAGACCAAGGTGACCCAGACTAGATTCTATGCCAAATAATTCACACCCAGCTCCTTCTCAGAGCAGAAATCTGCAATACTTTGGGGGTGGGGGCAGTTCACAGCAAGCATTAGTGATTTTGAAGAGTCTTTTTTTATTTCCTTTCCGGCTGCCATACTAACGAACCTCATGGGGGGAAACCATGCCAGAGGAAGAGACAAAATGAGGCTGCTGAAGTCAAAGGAAGAAAATATAAGACTCTTTGACAGGACAGAAAATGAGGCACAATTAGGGAAGACTTATTGCCTGGGAAAATGATAATGGATGGAAAATAATCTTTTTTTTCTTTTCATTTTTTTTTGCCTAGTGACAACCACGAGGACCATGCACTGAGGTGTAAAATGCCAGCATTTCAGTTATGGTTTTACTTACTGCCAGAGGCTGAGCCTGCAGCTGCACCTGGAAAAAACCAAGAAGAAGCCCAGTCACTGGAAAAGCAGGACACCATCAGCTCTGTTACCAGCAGAAGATCACACAGACACACGACGTGAGACTGAACAGTAATTAATTAGTGGGGGTCTTGCTCATAGGCATATCAGTATGCTGTAACAGCTTAAAAGCTGCTTTTGTCAAACCATACAAGCAACCAGACATTGCTGTATGGGGTCTTGCCATAGCAAGCCCTTCACCTGGGGAAGGAAAACTAGTGTGGTTCTTGCTGATGGAGTTTTTTGTTAGCCATCTCCTTGACCAGCCATGAAAGCTCAGCAAAGGACAAGCACATCCTCTGAGACTCACTGGCTGAGGACAAGTTGTAGTGTCTGAACAGGGAACTTCTCAGTGAGCAAGAAGGGCTGAACATCCTTCCCACTGCAGCACTTTCTCCACAGACTCCACTGCCAAGGCACAAACTCCAAACCTGCCGAACAAAGTCCATCCCAGGACCAGCTTCTGGTTTTGGCACCCAGGAGACTAAAGGCCATGGGCCTCCCTGCTGTCTAGTGGGTGAATCGTGGAAAGTCTCAGCTTTGCATGAATATAAAGCACAGGAGCAGCGATGGAAGAGGCAGGACTACCAAGTGGAGATGGCTTCAGAGAACTGCCTCTGATGCAGAGGAGAAGGATGTTGATGGTGGGGAGGAGGAAGCAGCAGAGAGAATTGGGGTGGGGAGGAGGAAGAAGACTGAGTGGCAGATGAGAAGAGAGATGAATGGGAGAAGAAAGAGCAGAGGAGAAAGAGAAATAGGAAGAGACACAAGGAACGGGAGAGAACAGCATGTCTGTGCCTGTCAACACCAGAAACTCTCCCAGGCTCCTTTGAAGCAATGCAGCCGCTTGGTGGGAGCTGACAAGCTCATTCCCTTTCAAAGAACCTGCTCGTCTACCAGCCCTGGCACACACAAAACATTCCCGTCACGGCCTTCGGAGCCTGAATTTCAGCTTTGATCATCTTAAAGCACATAAATCTTTCAAAAAATTTGGGGGGAGGGAGGGAAAAGATTCTCTTTGGTAATGCTCAAAGCTGCTGCTTGAAAGGCTGGAGTGGCTACTGTGGCTTCATGACATTTAAACAAGTCTGCTAATGTGGAGTGGACAGAAACCCAGGAGGAACAGGCCCATCTGTGATGTTTCTTGCCCCAATTCCCCTGCTCTGATGATGGTGGGTATGCATTCTCCATCTCGCCTGCGCCTTTGCTTCTGTCACAGCTTTGCTCCAGCAGCAATTGGATGAGACTGGAGCTGCTCACAGGGACTGCAGCTCACGGCTCTTGCCTGAAACACCAACACACAGAGAACAGGATCCAGAATTCCTGCAGCTGAGCAGTGCCTGAGCCATGGACTGCTCAACAGCCAGTGCTCTACTCTGGCTAAGCAATGTCTTCTCCAAAGGACAACAATTTGCGTTGCCACAAAGCCATCTTGGCCCAAGGTCATCCTCCCTGTTCTTGACCATCATTTAGACTCATCATTCATCTACCAGCAGCCAAGATATCACCTCTGCATCCACCAGATCCTCTGTCATTTCTCTGTGTGGCAAGATGGGGTAAATACCTCCTTCCCTTCGGAAAGCTGAGCATCCCACCCTGATTCCAGTTGGAGAAGGACAAGATGATAACCCACAGCCATCGTGGGCACTGGGCAGCCCCAGGTGGGAGTGTAGGCAGGGCTGGCTCACTGCAGGTTACTTACATGCATTGGGGGACCCATTAGGGAGAGGCAGGTAGGATCCTGCTCGCCAAGACCTGGAGCGAAAGTTCTTCTTGCACTTGCCGCAGTCCTGCCCCGTGGTGTTGTGCTCACACTCACACTGGAGACTTCCCTCTTTGAAGGTGCACAGGTTAGCATGGAGGTTGCATTTACACCTGCAGGAGGAAGACAGGGAAGAGCTGTCAGGTGTTACTGCTGCTCGTCCTTGCCCCTGCCATAGTGCTGTCTGTATGCATGAAAATGCAGTGCTGAAGCCAGGCTGGTTACCCCTTTCCTGTTCCTTTTGCAGGACTTTTTCACTGAACTCAGCTCTTTTCCCAGGTATCTGGTGCTGGGGTTACAATTTCCACTTCCTTGCCCAAGGTGGATCTGCAGTCTTCATTCCAAGATGAGAGACACTTTACTCCCACCATCTGACTGCAGAAGCACAGACTGTTTAATGGTAAGTCAGTGTCTACAGCTGAGACTCCAGGAAGGAGTCAGTCACATTTCAGGCTGTTACAGAAATCTGGGTGATTACCTCAGATTGAGGCTTTTACTTGGAGGTAGTCTCAGGCTTTAAATGCAGGAGCATGGCTAACACTGGTGGGACTTGGTCCTTGCCCCCTGTGCAGTGTGCTGAAGTGTTTTCTCCTGTGGTGTGAAGCTGCACAGCACAAAAACCTTTTCCCTCTGTGCAGCACAGCCCCAACCACTGCGACCAAAATAACACGGAGAACAAGTCACCACCAGAATCCATGTGTTAGTCCCCACCTCATCTAAGAAGGCAACAACGAAAACCACTATTCAGCAATTTGCAAACATTAAGAAACTTTTAATGAGCTGTAGTGCAGCATACAGGGAATAATTATCTCTGTGCACAATAATTCCTGTTGCTCAGACTCCGGTGGTGACTTGAGCAGAGCACAGAAGCTGAGCCCATAAGTCACACGTGGCTCTGGTGACTCCTGGGCCCAAGCTCAAGCCATCAGACAGAGACTTTGGGGACCAAAACATCTCATTTCATTCCAGACAGTCAATCCCTAGCACAGCCCACTGGTTTTTTTTCAGTGCTTTGTACAATAATTTACACCTTCAGAAGCAGAACCATTAGAAAACAGTATTGCTGTGCCTTCTGTGCACGGGTGGAGGAGAAGTCTGACAGGGCAGTGCTTTGGTTTACAGAGCTAATTGCTCAAGAGGTGCAGCACTGAGGGAACGAACTGCTTGCAGAGAAGATAGAGGAAACATGGCCTGCTGCTCCTTGTGCTCTCTCTGCACTGGGATAAACAGCCTGGATTAGGCTGGGAGATGTGAGTCTGGCTGCCAGTGCTGTGCATAACCCCCAGCTCCTGGTGCCTCTCTCCCAGAGCCCCCAGAGAAGCTCCCCAGCCACCTGCCTGACCTGCTGAGGCTGCCTGTGCTCTGCTCTCCTCACGCATGGCTGGATAAGCTGACCTCATGTATGATTTTTTTTTTCCTCCCCCTCCCCTCCCTGTCCTTAATTCTAGCAAACCCTGCTCAGAGGCTAAGCATAAGCTGGATGAACAATCTCTCTCCCTGTCTTACAACCCTGCCCTGTCTCTGACCAAGCAGACAAGGGAATTTTGCAGCCTCTAAAAAGGGAGGAAGGAGGAAAACGTGGCCCAGGGAGCAGAGGCAGACACAGTCAGGATGCTCCACTCGAGGCTGTGTGTCAGTGAGAGCAGGAGATGCAGCGTCACGGCTGAAAGCACTAACAGCCTCTGAGCATTGGTGCTCTGGGAGTAAGCCACGAATCCAAGTGTCTGGGGGAAGGAAGTGGCTTTGGCTGGTACCTGCACAGGAGGGATGCTGTATTTCAGCTGCTCTGTGTCCCCTTTGCCTCTGGTGAGCAAAGATTTCGGCTGAGCTGTCCCAGCCCTTTGGCAGAGTTGATGCCCAGCCCTGGAGTGCTGCGGAGCCTGGCTCTGAATTATTCAGTGTCCACACAGCGTGGCCTCCTTCTCTCACTTCAAAACAAGCAGACGAGAGCAAAGCAGGCAAGATAGTGGGTTAAAGCAGGTCAAAGCCTCACCGCTGCCGCTCTGGGCCCAGCCTGAATAGAGCAACAGCTTTTGGGAGCTGCAGCTCTCTCCTCCCTCCTCCTCTGGTGGGAGTGAGGGGATGGGACCAGCTCCAGAGCTCAGCCCTGCAATCCAGCTGAGAGGGAGTTTAAGAGCCTCGGGGGAGGGGGTGCAAGGAATGCAGGGACCATCATCCCCCTTGTTTTCCCTGAAGTTTGGGATGACATGGAGAGTAGTGCTTGGCTCCACTCCTTGACTCTGTGAGCTTTGCAGTAGGGATGTCAGTCCTGGGTGGTCACCACCAGGTCCCCACGGTGGCCTGGTGCATCCTCAATCAACCCCCTCTGCATGTAGCACATCCTTGCTCCTGGCATCCCCTACCAAGAGCCACACAAATGTTTTGGGGTGTTTCTACTAGCTCCAAGCTGCTGCTGTGCAGGAGGGTGAGGCCTGTTCACCATTAATTTGGCTCCAGTTACAAAACCTTTGCCAAGCAGTGGGACCAGCATTCTTGCTGCCAAGGCATGGATGTGTGCAGGAGGCAGCCAGACGTGTCTGCTCATACACACACACTGCTCACTTGCTGCTGAGGAGGTTCTGGGGGCTGAGCACCAGCTCCTGGGACAGCCCCAGCTGCCTCCTCCCTGCCCCAGGGGATGGGGTGAGTGCTCATGGACGTCCTCCAGCCACTGCAGGTAGGGCTGATGGAGCACTGCTGTTCCCAGAGAAGACCCTCACTTCCTAATTGGTGTAAACAAGGAAGATTAACTCAAGAGAAACCAGAGGCAGCTGTTTGCCCTGCCTGCCTGTGCCTGGGTCACTGCTTTTCTCTCACTGCTCGGCCCTTTGCCACTGTGCAAAACTTTTGTTATACAAAGGATCAATTTTACCAGGGAATTGCTTTCTGAATTCAACCTTTGAGGATCATCAATCTAAGCAGGGAACTGTAACCCCAGCAGGCTGACCCCGCAGCACAGCACTTTTCAGCCCAATCAATCAGGCTGCATTATTTAATGGCCAACAGCCGAGTGCTGTCAGCCAGCCCTGATTGTCAGCCCTGTTTTGGGTGAAGGTTTCTGCATCTTGGCCTCCCTGCTCAGCTTCAACCCCTTCTTCAGGCTGCTCTGCCTCCTCCTCTGGGCCCACAGCCCAAGGACATGCGTTCACTGATGGTCTGTGCACAATGTCTTTCCCCAGCCAAGACTCAGCTGGCGGAGACTGGAGTAAATGGCATTAGCCCAGTCCCCTGGGTGGGAGCTGCTAGTCCTGCTTGCCTCTGCTCATCTTCCTCGGGCGACCAGCCATTGCAGGAAGGAGAGGATGAAGGGAAAGGTTAGGAGCTACTTAGCAATGAAGCTTAAATAGCAGCAGCAGGGCAGACACCTGCGCTGTGTCCTGCAGAAGGCAGTGATGGCCCTTCTCCAGCCCCAGGGCTGCTCCAGCAAAGTGCTGGTTGCAATATGGTCTCTCTGGCTCTGGAGGAGATTTGAAGAGCCAGAAGCATTTCTCCTTTTGAGCTCATGGGTCAAGGCTAGCAGTGACAGTGCTGTTTCTCGATGAGCTTTCAGATCCCACAGAAGATTCAGCCACGATGGGGAGCAGCCCAAGGAAAGCAGCACCAGAGCACACCCAGCAGGACCTACAGCACCCCTGGACACCCACCATGCCCCAGAGACACCCACCCTGCACTGGGCTGTTAGTAAGTCACACAACTGCATTTTGCATTAACCAGAAACTGGCTCACACCATTCCCAGCAAGAGTGGCTGGAGCAATGTGTGGCCCAAGACATTATGCTTTGCACAATGGGGTATTTATGAGTTTATTTTCGGGCAGGTTGTTCAGCTGCTGCCTTCCCTCAATGGTGCAGTGTGGTCTGATGCTGCCAATGCCTTCACCAGGGAACATCACAGACCTTGGAGTGCCAAGGAAAGTTTACAGGAAAGTGTCCTTTTCTTTTTTTCTTTTTTTTTTTTTTCTAGCTTGTTAGCCGAACAGTTTCCTGCATTTCTCCAAGTCAGCATTCTGGAGGTCACAGCAGTGAGTGGCTGGAGAGGTGTCTGGTGCAAGCCCATGTGCAAGGGAAGGAGATGCCCCTGCACAGGAAGGGGTGAGTGCAGCAAACCTGCAGAAACCATGCTGGGAGTGGGAAAACAGCCCCTTTCCCTGAGCTTTCATTAATAATGACTTTTGAACAGTTTCCTGCATTTCTCCAAGTCAGCATTCTGGAGGTCACAGCAGTGAGTGGCTGGAGAGGTGTCTGGTGCAAGCCCATGTGCAAGGGAAGGAGATGCCCCTGCACAGGAAGGGGTGAGTGCAGCAAACCTGCAGAAACCATGCTGGGAGTGGGAAAACAGCCCCTTTCCCTGAGCTTTCATTAATAATGACTTTTGAAGTAATTTTAAAAAGCCATCCCAACCCTTAGTTTTCCTTCCAAGGATTCTTATGTGTTTTACAACCTCTTCCCACAGGCTGACTTGCAGAGCAGGGAAATAAGTCAGAGAAAGGCAAAGAGCATCTTGTCATCCCTGACTCAGGGCTGAGCCAGCCTTGTGGTGCTGGCATGGCCCTTCAGGCCTGATGCACTGACCCCACTGCTGTGCTGGGTAGGGCTGGAGGAACCATGTGCTGGATGGATGGAGACCCAGAGAGCTGCTCCATCCCCTTTCACCTCTCACCCAGCTCCCACGAGACAATACTGCCTGCCCTGAGCTCCTTGAGAAAGCCTGGGTGAGGACAGCAGAAGTCCACTACAGTGGGTCACCACCTCCCCTCTAAGTATCTTTGCAGTCCAGCCTGGACACTCATCTCCACCCTGTGCTCACCATGAGGATGTTACTGCGTGGCCCCAGGGATTCAGTGGAGACAGGTCCCTTCCTTCTGGCTTCTGAGCCACCAGATTCCTGCTTTCCACCCCCACCATGGGCTTGGCTTTGCCCCCCTGCTCCCTTTCTGCTCTCCTGAGCTCGTGTTGGGGAGAGGCAGCACTCAGTGGAGAGCTGCTAATGACTGCTGGCCAAGGCAAGGCTTATCAGAGCTTTCCCCTGAATTGTTTGCTCTCACTGTAATTGATGAGCCTTTAATGAGTCTCATGGGACAACGTGTTTGAAGGGAGCTCTTTCCTCTCTGTCCC